ACCCTCCCGCCTCAGCCTCCCAGAGTGCTAGGATTATAGGTGTGAGCCACTGCAGCCAGGTGCCCTTCCAGTTTTGTATCCAGAACCATCACAGGAACAGGCTGAACCTACAAGGTGGCCCCCGTGATTCTGTCTCCTGCAGAGAAGGCAGTGCTGGGCCTGCGTGTGGCCACCTGGGAAGTCTAGTGTGTGCCCAGACCAAGGAAAGGCCTGCCAAAAGTGCCTCTTTTAAAATATAGAACTTTATTTTGGTTATTGAGATTTTCATCAGTACTTAATTCACAGAAAAGTCATTTCTTAAAAAATAATAAAGGCAGCATTTTATACAGCAACTGACATCGGGGCCACCAAACAGAAGTGCAAAGGGCAGTGTGAGAGACAGGAGGAGCAGCACTCTTGTGCCCACGGTCCTCAGGGGGAGGCCAGTGCTCCTGGATCCCTCTGCCCCCCCATCCTGCCCACAGAGCAGCACCTAGGGCCTCGCAGAACCAGCCCGGGAAGTCATCGGCCAAGTGCATGACAGCAACTCCAACAGGCTGGCGAAGGCCCCACATGGAGGGCTGAGTGGGAGGGGACCGTTCAGGCTAAGCTGGCCCTGCATCCAGCCCCCTTCCTCGAGCAGCGGCCTGAGCCCGCCTGGCTCTGGGACCCTAACACATTCACAGTACAGTAGAGTAAGCCCTCTGGGAGCTGGCCCTGCTTTCTTCACTCAGGCCATCATCCCTACCCCAGCCCAGGGTTGGGATCTGGGATCTGGGGACACAGAGTTGTGGCCCTACCTTCAGGGAGCCCACAGGCAAGTAGGGGGACAGGTTATGGACCTGGATGGCTCCAAAACAAGGCAGAAAGTGCTCAGTGCCCTGAGAGGGAGCAGAAAGGGGGTGGCTGGGGCTCCCAGGAGGACAGAAGGCAGGAGAGCCGTGTGGGGACAGCAGTGTCTGGGCTAAACCTTGAGGAACCAGCGGGGCCTGGACACGTGGAGACGGCAGAAAAGGCATGCCAGGAGGAGAGAGCATGAGCCAAGGCACAGAGTAGGGAGACACGGCAGGGTCAGTAAAGGCCGGTGCCCATCCGTGAGAACACGGATAAGTACCAGGGGCCCAGGCACCCCTATCTCCACAGGCTGGTGCCCAGGAGGGGCAGCTGGCGTGGGTGTGCTCATGTGGGATTTGAATGCTCCTTGGCAGGCAGCGAGCTAACATCCTCCTGAGTTTGGGAGCTCCTTGAGGACAGAGTGGAGCCCTGTATGTCCCTGCCCGGCCCAGCACCTGTCTGCAACGCCTGAGTTGCCTTAAGGGAGCCTTCTGCCACATGCCCCTCCTGTTTCCAGCATGTCCCCATCATCCCTGGGGCAGCCTTTCAAGAGGGGCTCCTGTTCCTAAGCCCCTTCCCTCCTTCATAGGTCCACGTCCAAGTTTAAGAGAACTGTGTCCTTAAGTAAACCCAACTCAGTTCCTCTAGCCTCCAGAGGCAGCTGGGAGGGTGTGGTGGGGTCCCTGCAGGGATTGAAAGGGACACAGGTCTGGAAAAGGGGAAAATTTTGAGACAGTTATCTCTTTCCACCTCACTAGAATCACTTCCCTCTGTCAGGAGTAAATCTGCTCTTCCCTGAGCAGAGTCTAGGTTTGGTGTGTGTCAAACATGGTACCCTGTAATGCAAAGAAAATCCTGACCAAAAAGCTTCACATGTGATTTGAGTTTCCCCAACTCTTCACAATCCTTATGGGAGCTTGAGTGACTGGAAACCCACCAACTTCTATCTCTTTTTCTCCTTGAAAAACATTTCCAAGTTCCTTCCCACTGAGGGCCGTGGAGGCTGAAGTGTTTTGGAGGTTCCTAGGTCCCCAGGAGGCCTGAGACCTGTTTTATCAGGGGAGTAGTTAGAGGAGGGGATGGGCCGGAGGTTTCTCAGGCACTATTTTTGTCTTAGCTCTTCTGAGCACCTGTCAGGGCCTGGACCTGAGCAGGTGTCGTCTTCATAGGATGGTGCAGAAGATGCTGCGGTTGCTGTGGTAACCACCTTCCACACGGGCTGTGATCCTGGTTGCCATAGCTGTCACCTTCTGCCCATTGTGGGCTGCAGAGGGGCCTCTGAGAGAGTTTTCAAGGTGAGGCCGTGCTGGTGGGTTCACCAGGCGCCATGTATCAGACCTGGAGGTGCAAAATGAAAGTTAGTGAACTCTTTGAGGTCTATAGCATTTGCTGACTACCCTGCACAATCTTACCTTTGACTCCAGATCGGTGGATCCAGGTGTTTAAATCTGGGTGTAGGTTTTGTCTCCCAGGTTGGTGTTAACCCAAATAGGTGGGATGTGTGAAACTAAAGGGCAAAAGTCCTACATTCCAAGTCCAGCTCTGCCTTGAATTCTGCATGTAACCTTGGACAAGTTCCCTCCGTGGGCCTCAGTTTCCCCATCTTTAAATAAAGATCTGGATAAGATCACTGTTTCTTTCTTTTCTTTTTCTTTTGGGAGTCTTGCCCTGTTGTCCAGGCTGGAGTACAGTGACATGATCACAGCTCACTGCAGCTTCAAACTCCTAGGCTTAAGTGATCCTCCTGCCTCAGCCTCCCGAGTAGCTGGGACTACAGGTGTGCACTACCACACCTGGCTAATTTAAAACAATTTTTTTGTAAAGACAGGGTCTTGCTACATTGCCCTAAAACAATCCTCCTGTCTCAGCCTCCCAAAGGGCTGGGATCACAGGCATGAGCCATTGCACCTGGCATAGTGGTTTTTTTTCCTCTTTTATTTTCATTTTTTCAGCTGTATGACCATGAATGCTTATACAAGCTTTATTCATAATCACCAAAAACTAGAAACTACCTAAATGCCCTTCAGCTGATGAATGGATAAACCAACCATTGGTACATCCATACAATGGAATATTACTCAGCAATGAAAAGGAATGAACGACTTCATGCAACACCTGGGATGGCTCTCAACATGTTAGGCTACGTGAAAGAAGCCAGTCTCAAGACTACACACTGTATGATTTCGTGTCTATGACATACTGGAGAACGCACATCTACAGGGCATAGAGGTTGATGGGTTTCCAGTCATTCAAGCTCTTGTAGAGAGTATGGAGGGCTGGGGAAAATCGAATGACGGTGAAGCCTTGATCAGGGTTTCTGTTGTCTGAGTTACAAGGAACTGCCATTTACACGCACACACCAAATCTCAATTCACTTAAGGCCACAACATTGTCCTATATGTATTGTTATGATAATAATGTTACGACGAGAGGACTAGACAGGTGTGGATAGAGTGGAGTGAGTAAAGAGGCCCACGGTATGTTGAAAGAACCGTAGTGTTTGGGTTTGGCGGAGGGGAGTGCTCCTGAAAAGGCGGGATGAAATGAGAAGGCTGGAAAGGAAAACCTGGATCCGACAGTGCACAGTGGACAATGCCAGGCTGACAAGTCTGGGCTGTATCCTGTCCCCTGGGGTCTCCAAAAGGGAAGGGGGATGTGGATCCCAGGGAGTCCACAATAGGATCTGCTGGGATGCGGGAAGAAAATATCAGAATTTCTATTTAGTCTGTACTTTAAAAATGTCTGTTTTGGGGATGGTTTCTAATGTAGATAATATATGGATAGAATATACATATATAAGTAAACAAATATACCTAAATGAGGGGGTTTCCTCAAAAAAAGTTTTTACTGAAAGTGTGTGTAATGCAAAAAGTATGAAGATCATTACTATAGAAAACAGGGATCCATCAAAGGTTTTTGACCACGTCTAGGACATGACCAGCTCTCATGTAGACGGATTAACCTGGCAGGGTAAGTAGGACAGCGTACAGCGTGCACTAGGGGCGGCCAGCAGCACGGAGACCAGGAAGGAGGCTGCTGCAACAGGACAGATGATACTGGCAGTGCAGCAGCGACACCACCAACAGTAACCATCATTATTGTTTTACAACCAATATAGCAAAGCACTGACCAATCGTAACAGAGTCTTCTCATGAACAACTGGAACAGCTGTACTGGTAATATGGCCCACAGGTCAGGGTAAGAGGTGCTGAGACCTGAATTAGGGTTTCTGCAGTTGGGGAAGAGGAGGTGCCAGATACAAGAGCATTTCAGAAGCAGAATTGAGGGGACTTGGTGACAGACTGAACTTTGGTTTTTGGGAGAAGGAGGCAAAGAGTTTATTGCCAGAACACTGAGTGGATGGAATTGTCATTGAATTGGGGAACATGGAAGGACCAAGATGGGGAAGATACGAGAGAGGCAACTGACACAATGAGCCAGAGGCACCAAAACAAGTGCAACAGCAACAGCAGCAACTAACGTTTTTGTAATACCTCAGATATTCAGCTAGGTCACATGATCTTATTTTATCCTAAATTACTGCCACAAAACAGATATTATTAACTGGATTTTACTAAGGCTCAGAGATGTTCAGTAACTTGCCCAAGGTCACACAGTCAGTAATTGGCAGAGTTGAGATTAGAAACAACATACCCGACTCTTAAAAAGCTTGTTCCCCCAGGGAGTCAGGCACAGGTCCTCAGCCCAGGCTTGACACAAAGCCCAAGCACAGGCCTTTTTTGCCCAGAGCTGGAAGCTGGCATGATTGCAGGGAGCAAGGGCAACCACAGTCATTGGGCCTAGGCCTGGCTTCTCCAGTGACCTCACTGTAGTTCTAGAAGACAGGTCCAGGCAACCCCAGGCACTTACTTTTTCTTGAAGACCAGGAACTTGTTGTTTTGCATGATACATTCTCGGTTGTTTGAGATCTGCTGAAAGATGGTCTTGTTGGTTTTGCCCTGGAAGATGATGTTCTCCTGCACCAGGGCCTTGGCGCGGCCTCGCACTGCAATGCCGTAGGCCCGGAATGAGTGGATCCGGTTCTTTATTACCTGGGAGAGGCAGCCAAGAGGTGATCACACCTCAGGGACTCACAGACTGCTGGAGGAGCCAGGCAAGTGAATTATCAGTTATAAAACTGAAGGGTAAGAACATGCTAGATAGGTCAGCATACAGCCACAGGAGCTCAAAGAAGGGTATGGAGCACAGCCTGGGGCAGCCAGGGAAGGCTTCCTGGAAGAGGTGACAGTAAGTTGTAGGAGTTTGTCAGATGCAGAGCAGGGAGAGTTTCAGGAAGAAGAAACAATGTGCAAAGGCCTGGCAGAGAGGGGAGGTGGTACCGGAAGCCAGGGCCACTGGCAACCCAACTGAGGCAAAAGCGTGCCCAAAAGTGTGCCCCTCTCTCCCCTTCCTCTGCCCCCACAGGACTCAGAGGCAAAGCCAAGGAATTCTTTACTCCCCGTCTATGTCACTGACTCATAAAGCCACTGAGCTGAAGACGGTCTTTGGGATCGTAATTCCACAAGGGGAGGGACCAGGTCTGTTGGGCTCAACACTGAAACCCTCGCACCCAGCACAGTGCTTTGCACATAAAGGTGCTGAGGGCTCAGTCCTCTGCAGAGACACACAGGTACAGGAACAGACCCCCAGCACTGTGGAACGTGCTCTGTGAGGCAGGGGGGCTGAAGCACCGCAGAAGTCCAGAAGAGGCACCTTAAGCAGCCTGGGCCGGGGGTCAGGGAGTCTTCCTGAAGAAAGAGACAGCTACGCTACAGACTAAGGCAGAAAGAGGACAAAAGGGTATTCTGGGTATACAGGGAATAGTGTGTGCACAGGCCCTGCCAGAGGCAGGATTTCTCTTCTCATTAAGCACTGACTGCATACCAGGTACTGTGTAAGATTACTCTGTCAGGGAAAGAGAACTGAAATAGTCCTGACCTTGACCTGGAGACCGGGAAGATACCTCGGGAGGCTCCCAACACCATGAATCTAGGAGGTGACATGCCCACCCCTGGCTTCCTGCTAGTGAACTCTTGTTCATCTTTCAGGGCCCAGTCCCTATGTCCCCTCCTGTGTGAAATCCCACCTACATTTCCCAGACTGAGTTTTGGCATGAGGGATGATGTCCCTCGTGGCACTGAGTGGTTATGGTTCTGTTTCTCAGCAGAGGGCAAAAGGACTGTCCCAGGGCTGTGTCCTGTGTTGGCACCACATGTCGCACACAAACTCACCTTAGTGTCAGACCTGGGCAGCAGCTGCAGCCCACTGCCCCGGTTGCCAATGATGTCATTTTCGATGACAACGGTGCTATCACCCCTGGTGATAATGCCATGGCCTCTGTTGTCATAGATACCATTGCCCCGGAGTTCCACCTTGCACTGGGCCTCGACCTTGACCCCACTCTGCCGGTTGCAGGAGATGCTGTTGTTGGCCACACGGGTGGGCTGGCTGCTCTGGGCCACAGTGATGCCTCTGTCCCCATTAGCGTGGATCACGTTGGTGAGGACATGCAGTGCCTCGCTGCTCTGGACATAGAGTCCCGAGGCTGTGGGCACAGAGGTTGGGGAGCAGGGAAAGCACAGGGTGGTCCCAGGGTCAGCCCTGACAACCCCAGTCAGGAAAAGCCTTCCCCGAATTGTGCACTCCAGGACAGAGGTGGAGAAAAAGAGGTGGTGACACTTGGAAGGAGCCCTGGGGTTTGCATCTTCCAAGCTGATGACAAGCAGCAGGAGGAAACCCAGGAGCTAAGTGCTTATTAAACATAGCCAGGGAGGAATGATGTGCGAAGACTCCTCAGGCTGAGCTGTCCTCTGGCCCCAGCTCTCAGCGGTGCTTGATGCTCCTGCACCATCAGCACCCACCGCTGTTTGCACCTCCCATGCTGGGGCACTCGCTACCTCCTCAAGGCTGCCCATTCCACCTCTCGACAGACAGATCTACCTGCTAGAAAGCTGCTTTGCCTTGTTTTCCTTCCCATAGGAAGCCGGCATCTGCCTTCCTACTATAGCTGGGACTACAGGTGTGCGCCACCATACCTAGTTAATTTTTCTATTTTTTTGTAGAAACGGGGTCTTTCTCTTGCTCAGGCTGGTCTTGAACTCCTGAGCGCAGATGATCCTGCCTCGGCCTCCCAGAATGCTAAGATTATAGGCATGAGCCACCACGCCCGGCCTCCAGTAAATTTTTTTCAATTCAAGAAATATCAAATACCTACTACCATTTTTATCAGGTTTAAGATAACATGGATTTAAAACACACTTATTTTTCTGCATCTCTAAGACAGGAAAATCACTGCCAATTAAACCAGGATATGCCATCAACTGCAAGACACATCTCATCAGAGATGTTAAAATGTGAAAAATGTGTCTTACAATTGATTAAAAATGTTGTACCAGCAGTTGTTATTTGGTACTGCAGGGGCAGGGGGCACTGAGGGGAGTGGACTTCAGTTCTTTGCTTCAAGTTCATAACCTATCAGAGTTGATGAAACAATCACAGAAATGACTACAGCCATAAGGCCCCGTAACAAGTGCCACTGGGGCTGGGGAGGGCACAGTTCAAAGGAGGAAAGGATGAAGGGGTTCATTTACAGCAGGTTTTGAAGTTCAAGTTGGTTTGGGATGTGTGGATGGGAAAAAGGGAATTTCAGGCAGGAGAAACCACATGAGTGATGTTGATGGGGTAGGAGGCAGAAAAGAATGGATTTAAGTTTAGGGAACAAATCTAGAGGGCTTGGGTATCAGGTAAGTGGCAGAAAGAAGTGGGTGATGAGGCTGGAAGGGCAAGTTGGGACCAGTCTGCAGAGGGCTCTTAAGACCCTGGGGAGCCATGGAAGGCTCTTGAGCAGGGGGCTGGGTCGGGGGTACAATTACCTCCATTGTGATTAATACTGTTGGACTCAACGAGAGCTGTGGTGATGGGCCGGCGCAGTGGGTCTTCCTCCTTCTCCAGCTCTGTCTCCCAGAGGATGGCATCCCTGTCCTCGCTGAAGTTCTCCTGGACCCCGTGACCTCCAGGAAACTCACCAGAGCCGTCCTTCTGGCTGAACACTGCTACTCCGTACAGGCCATTGTAGCTGACGTGGTTGCTGGTGACGTGGGGCAGGCTGGATGACATCATCCACACACCACAGCCCTTGTTAGCTGGGACAGTGAAAGGAGCTGGTCACTGACACCCACCAATGGGTGAGATGTCTCACGCCAAGAGCGGAAGCAACAAGGCACTGACCTGGGAGACAAAGTCCCTGCTTTGCTAATGGCCTTGGACAAGTCACTTTACAGCTCTGGCTGTAGACTTCTCCTCCATACAAGAGGGATGATAATGGCCAGGCCAATTTCACAAGCCAGGCTCATTCCACAAGGTGTGAAAGTGCTCTGAGAACAGCTAAGGCCGTGCTTCCAGATGAGCAGCACACAAGCCCACAGTGACAGGGCCAAAGGGGCACCAACCCCTCCCTGCACAGAGGGAGGCAGCCAGTTTTAATCCCAGCCTTGAATCCCACATTTCCTAGCTACGTGACCTTGAGCAGGTGACTGAACCTCTCTGTGCCTCAGTTTACTCATCTTTAAAATGGGATTAATAACTGTATCTACGTCAGAAGGCAGTCATGAGGATTAGCTGTGACAGTGCATATAAAGGGCCTAGCAGAGAGGCAGGCCTGAATAAATGTTATCTTTATTTTTATTATGGGAGATACAGTCCAGAAAGATTAAGGCTTTGCCCAAAGTCACAGAGTGAGTGAGAGTGGTTTTCTATGATTACCTTACTTGCTCATTATATTTTCCGTTCTCTAGATCAAAAGAAAGGATGAGAGGAGTTAGACGCACATGCGTCAGAGCTTAAATGTCCCGGTCCTTAGGCATGACACAACTCCTGCTGTTTGCTATTTTAAACGGGGATAAAGCTCTCTGCTTTGCTGACCCCACGGGTCAGTCTGGATTCCGAGGTGATTTACGAGAGAGGCTCTCCATTCTGAGTGGCCCGTGTGACTGTGGCCTGAGAGTGCCTGTTCTTCGCATGAGGTCTCTGAGGTGCAGGGAAAGGCAGTGACGTTCTCAGGACCCACCAGGCTGGAGATGGAACCTGGGCTTCCCGCTTCCCAGCACGGGCTGGGGCCCAGACCCCGCCTCCGGGAACACACTGCTCACCATAGATGGTGTTTCCTTCTATCAGCCCTTTGCCTTCATCTCCCACGACCACCCCGTCTGAATAGCCAAAGCAGATGAGGTTGCTCCTGAGGACGGGGATCCCTCCGCGGCGGATGTCTACACCTCCCCACTGATTCTCACGGATGACGTTTTCTGTGGAGAGAGGCAGAAAAGAATACCCAAGGGCCACTCCAGTGCTGGCAACAAGGACATGGACAGCTAAATCAAGCCACTCCAGACCAGGATGCCCGGGCTTTACCCTGTCCCGTAGTCAGTACCCCACACCTTGTCTGCAGGGACTTGCCTGCTTTCCCCAAGGGCAAGGCTTGTGTCTGTCCTGTGCACTCCTATACTCCCAGCACTCCCTGCACCAAATGGTCTTGAGGACTGATGAATAATTAACTGGACTTAGAATCCCCAGAGGCAGAATCCGGCCATTTCCCCACAAGCCTGGGAAAGCGCTGTCCTGTCCTCAGCCTGAGCTCTGTACTCTGACCAGGCTCTCCCCCTGCTCTCTCCCAGGGAGCCACTACCTTTTGGGGGTAGGCAGAAGAGTCACAAGTCAGAAGGGTGGTCTGGGACACTGCTGCCCTCATCAGGGTGGCAGGGCAGACTGTTGGCCTCCTGGGACTCGGGGTGCAGTGGCTCATGAGACCCCATGTGACTGGCCCCTTCCTGCCACCTCATGCCCCTCACCCCTTGCTCAGTACACTCCAGCCCCACAGTGATCTCTGCCCAAGCAGGCCAAGTCTGTTCCCACAGGCAGCCCCACCTGGAAGGTTCTTTTTCCAGGCTCTTCCCTGCTACTCCGGTTCTGGCTTACTTGTCACCTCCTCAAAAGGCTGCCCTGACCACACAATCTTAGAGACCCACACAGTCCCTCTACCACCTTAGTTATCAGTAGGGCACATATCACCTTCAGATATGACTTTTTTTGCTTGTATATGTATGCTTTTATTTATTTGCTTCCCCCTCGTAAAATGCTGGTTCCTGAGAAGATGGGGTCTGTTTCGTTCACTGCTGTATCTCCCACTCCCGGAACATGGCCTGCATACAGTGTGTGCTCAATAAATGTCTGATGAATAAAGGCTGGATTCAGTCGGGGGATTCACTGGACCAATATTTGCTGAATCCCTTTTATATCCTAGGCATGGCTCTGCTCTGTGCTGAGGCTACCTTGATGTATCCAACAGATTTGCTCCTTGCCTTGTGGAATTCACTGCTTTATAACAAACCACTAAGAAATTAAAGGTCCTACAGAGGAGGTGTCCTGGGTATAGTGAAGCTATCTGTACAATGGGGAGGTCAGGGAAGGCTTCCCCAAGGAAGTGGCAATTAAGTTGAGACCAAAAGGGTGAGCAGGAGTTAGCCGGGCAGAGATGTCCAGAGCAGGCAGAAGCCCACACAAAAGCCAACAGGAGGGATGCAGGCAGTTGGTTTGAGATCATCATTTCTGAAAGTCCCATTAGCTGAGACTACAGGCGCATGCCACCATGCCTGGCTAATTTTTTCTATTTTTAGTAGACAGGGTCTCGCTCTTGCTCAGGCTGGTATTGAACTCCTGAGCTCAAGCAATCCTCCTGCCTCGGCCTCCCAGAGAGCATTACAGGCGTGAGCCACCGCGCCCAGCCAGCTTCCAAAAGTCTTATGTGAGCCACTGGGAGATCCTATCAGCTCTGGGCTTGGAAACAGCAGGCACTTCCTCCATGCTAGACCCTTCTCATGAGAAGCACAGCCAGCATGAAGCCCACATCCCTGAATACTAGGCCATTATCAGAGGAGGCAGCCAAAGTCTCTGGGGGTAAAGGTCCTGAAGCTGGGGGGTGACGCCAGGGGATGTTGGCCTGGCTGCCTGCCAGCTGCCTTGGCTGGCTAGGGCTCTGGGCAATTCCCATCCTGTACCTGTGATGAGGCCCTTGCCATTCTCGTTCACTGCTATGCCGGCTGCACGGCCCTTGTAGATGTGGTTCCCGCTAAAGTGAAAGGAGAACAAAACAAAGAGGTGAGACCAGGGCATCGATACCATGCTTCCAGAAGATTGCCTTCTTTTGTGGGCTTCCCTATGGCTCAAGTCCACAGGGACATAAGGCATTTCCTGAAGTCCTATAAGCCAGGCATACAGAAATCTTTAGTTGTCATTGGGACAGCCTGCCCCAAAACCTAAATCTACAACTATCCTATATATGCACAATGATATCCAAATTCACTGTGGCCTCACTTGACTGTCATGTACCTATAAATATCATTCATTTTAAACAGATGTCATCATGGTGCGTGGCTCGCAGGTAAAGTCTTGGTAGCATAAAGAATTGCTGGAAGGCTGGAAGGCTAAGCTCTCTTAAGAGTGATGTGTGTCCAAACCCTGAATTAGACTTTCTACTTTTAACAACCCTACAATCGTCTGCTTGTATCCAACAGATACTCTATGTCTTATTTTCTGTTAACTTAATCACTGACTCATCAAATGACAACATAAAATAACGACATGCTTAAAAGAAGAAAACCAGATTTTAAAAGGGGATTTCAAGAACATCAGGCAATGTGTATGTGAAACCTATGGGTGGGTCACCCACAAATGGAAGGTATATGAAAATACGCTCCTGCTCAGAGAAACACACAACCCTTACTGCCACGTAACGGCCTCAGGAATGAGACAGAACCAGTCAGCTGAGCATGGTAAAGCACATGCATTTCTTTCCAATCTCTGCACCTTGGTTTCACTGTCTGTAAAACGAAAGCCAATCACACCTAAATGTTAGCAGAACTGTGTTATCCCTGGAGGACAAGCATTCGCTGTTTGTCATTTTTACTCATCTGGATGCTATGCTCTCCTTTCCACTGGAAGGGCCCCTGTCCCCTTTCTCACGAGGTGGACTTCCTCCTTCCCACCATGGAGCTGAGAGATTTAGGTCCAAACATTCATGTGGCTCTTCAGAGCCTAACACAGAGCCTGGTACCCATGGAACATCACTAATGATGAGCTGGCTGATTAAGTTTTCCCATCTCCCAGGGCACAGTCCAAATGACTGGCTGACTTGAGGGAAAAAAATAGCAAATTATGTTGAAACTGGGAAACCCAAATGTCAATGGCATCTCCACTCCGCATTGTGGAGTTTAACAGGTGAAATGATCTATTAAAAACACGCCCATTTTTAACTCAGATCTAAAGAGTCTGCTTTGATCTGGTTACGATTCAATCAGCTGGGAGTTGTGGGTTTCTAGAACTCACATTCAGATACAGTCCCTGGGCTGAGGCCTGCCTCATCTGTGTCTCTGGCAGCCATGCCGCAGGCAGCAAATGCATGGCTGGTATACTTTTAATACAAATCGCACCTGCAGAAAGGATCCACGTCCGCTTGGAGAAACGTGTATGTGTGTGTACATGGGGCAGGCAGAATAACAGCAAGAGAGAGATCAGAAAACGTTTAGAGGCAGGGATAGATCAGTGTGCCAAGGACCAAGGATGGGATATTAACTGCAGAGGAGCACCGTTTGAGCCCTGTGCTTCCTTGTAGCTGAGGCAAAAATAGAAACACCACAGGTTATATAACTCAGTGGCAAAAATATATGCTGTGGTTTGCCTCAGCCAGGCCATTTCAGGGCTCTCCAACTGCATTCTATAACCTCCCCCAGATCCTGCCTCTCAGCACAAAGAAACAAAGGAAAAAACCACAAGCTATTCTCTCAAGGTGACCATGTTTTCAAAACCCAAGATACTGATCTGATTACGGTATTCCTCACTCAAAACCCTTTAACAGTGCCCTAGCATCCACAAGGTAAAGTCCACACTTCTTAGCTTGGTATATTAATTTCCTATTGCTACTATAAAAACTCACCACAAACTTAGTGGCTTAAAACAACACAAAATTATATCTTCCATATCAGGAGGTCAGAAGTCCAAACTGGGTCTTACAGGCCTAAAATCAAGGTGTCAGCAGGTCTGTGTTCCTTCTGGAGGCTCTAAGGGAGAATCCACTCCTCACCTCCTCCAGCTTCCAGAGGCTGCCTGCATTTCTTGGCCTGTGGCCTCATCGTTCTGACCTCTGCACCTGCTGTCACATCTCCTCCCCTCTCATTCTGATCCCCCTGCTTTCCTCTTACAAGGACTTCTGTGGCTACACTGGGCCTGCCTGGGTAATCCAGAATGATCTCCCCTATCTTTTTCAAGGTCCTTAATCACATCCCTTTTTGCCATGTAAGGCAACATACACACACTTTTCAGCAATTAGGACATGCACATCTTTGGGGCCAGTATTCTGCCCACCACACTTGACATTCAAGGTCCTTTGCGCAGCAATCTGCCTTTGCACTATCCCCCCGGATATCTTGTGCCCAGACATACCATATTTCTCACCATTTTCCCAGACACACCCTGAATATCACTGCTTCTGGGCCCAGAATGCCTTTTCCCTGGCCACAAAATCCTATTTATCTTTCAAAGACAATTCAAATGTCAGCTCCCTTACATGCTCACAGGAAGCCATGGCTGAGCCCCTCTGGCACTCTGCATGAAGACCTATTAGGCACTCATTTTGGTGAGTCTTCCATCATGGCTATTTTTACATGTGTCTATCTCCAGCCAGGGCCTGTAAACTCCCTGGAGCAGGGATTGTTCTTGCTTTTTATATCCCTATTCCCTTACATGGAGTAAATTATTAAGGACTGTGTGTTAAATGGACAACACACATAGATACAAACATACACTCTCATGTTAAGGCCATAATGCAAAAGAAGGGAAAAGAGCTCTATGAACAAAAATTGTTTTTAGTAAGCTATCTACAATAGCAAAAGAATATATAGATGCCTAACAGTAATAGAACTGGTTCAAAAATTATGGAATATCAAAACAATGAAATGTTCTGAAACTTTCCAAAGTGATGAATACGAAGGCTATGCAATAAAATGGAAAAAAGTACATGTGGAATAATGCAGGGGAAAAACCCCTCAGAATATATTTGCTGTCCATTAATGCTAGCTATTTCCTAAAGCACAGACATAACTGTGTGAGTCCTCTGCTCAGAAACCTTTAATGACTTCCCAATATCTAGGCAGAACAAGCTCCACACTTGGTGTGCATGAGGCCTCCTCATCTGGCCCAAGCCTTTCTTTCCATCGTTCCTACCCACTATGCCGCGTGGCACAGATGGACTGCCACAGGGATGTAACAGGTCAACTGCAGAGACCACAGGGCCCACGATTTCCTGGGACAGTCCCAATTTAAAATATTTTATACCAATGTCACACCAGTGGACTGTTAGCTAACCCCTGAATCTGCTGTGTTCTGCTGCCTTTGCTCATGCTGTTTCCTGTACTAGGAATATCCACCAACCCCACTCCCCATCTCCTTGAGTCCAGGTCCTGCCCGTATTCCAAAGTCCAACTCTAATGCCACTGCCTAAATGAGGCCTTCCCACATCGTCCTGGTCAGAGTGATTCTCTCCTCCTCCTGGTACCACTCTGACAGCATTTATCACAGTCTGCCCCGTACTACAGCTGCGACAGCAGATACAGGGTCCCAGTACTGCCACTGCCCCTTCTACTTATTACTTGTATATTGGTCACTGATCACGGCATGCTTTCGTACTGAGGCCAGACACAGCACCGGGATCTTAACACAGCATCCCAGGTCACCACTATCAACTAACCTAAGTTGTCAGGTGAGTTGAAGTCTCTATGCCATCCTTCTCTTAAGAGTATTTCTGTGCCTGTTTCTCCAGACTAGACTAAGCTCCTAGGGAGCAGAGTGTGGCCCTTGTTTAGCTTTGCAGACACTTTTTAGAAGGGCTCAGTAATGACTGATGAGTAGAATGCCTACATGGAATTAACTGGAAGGGCACATAAAACACAAAAGTAGTTTTGTCCTTGGGGCGGGACGATGGGTGAAGTCCCTTCTTTGCTTGCACCTGTACAGTTGTTTTAGAAACAATGTTTTCAAATGGAGGAAATAGGGAGTAGGGAAACAGAGATGAAAGAGGGAAAAAGGGACCGTGGACGAGTGAGACAGTCTGGGCACAGTGGCAGATACCTCACGATTGGATTTCCATGGTACAGGATATAAATGCCAGCCTCCTTATTTGAAAAGATTTGATTGTTCCGGATGATGCCTTTCCCATTGCCAAGGACGACAATGCCAGAGCGAAGGCCGTGGTGGATCTGGTTACACTGCAAGTGAAAACGAGACACCACAGAAGGCAGATCAGACACGCTAGTGAGAAGCAGAGTGTTCAATCACTGCCCACACAATCATGCTGGGATGAACACAGTGGAGAAAATACTGTCTCTGGAAGATCCCTAGCACATGACAAAGGGCATGGGCCATGCTGCCCTGCCCTTCCTGCACAGCTGCTCATGCTGAAACCTGTAAGAGACTGTGAAGAGAGGAGTCTCACTGCCCAGCCTCTTAGGATGTAGTTATGCTGGCACCTACTTGCTCTTCATCTGCAAGGCAGGCTACCCAAAGTTTCTGAGCCTCTCAAGAGTTCCCCAAACACGCAGTCATCCGGCCAGGCCACACATGCCAGGGCCCAGGGAGCCCACCTCTCAGGGAAGGGCAGCACCTTGGTACAATAGGTCACAGAAAGTGTATGAATGCTACGGGATGCTCAGAGATACTCATTTCTGATATTTCCTTGTACAAATGAAGAAACAGGCCCAGGCTTATATAGCATGTTTGTGGCAGAGCCAGATCTGAAACTTAGTGTTTCTGTTTCCCCTTCTAGTTAGTTGCTTTTGCACAGTGACTTAATATTTTTATATTATAATAAATTATAATAAAATTGTCTCATTCTAATCGTTAATTTATAGCTGAAATCCAATCCCATACTGAAACCAGGAAGTTAGCTGTATCTCTTCCAAGAGGATTTCATAGAAACAAAGCTCTGGTTTGCTTTAAAGCATTCCATGCTGCAAGCTCTTCTTATCCTTACTCTCTTTCCAGATTTCTCCTGAAGGATTTGGCATTCACCAGAGCAACTGTGGCCTAACAGAAGTCACTCACAGAGACTTCTGTTGAAAAACTCCGAGAGAGGTGTGCGCAATGGCATTTCCATCCTCGTCCCCTTTCACAAAGCCCGGACTGGGACGTATCACTCCCCTCCCCCTCCACCTGCTGGACTGGCCTACCCTCTCTGTCCCTCTGTCCATGGAAAGGCAAACTCCTCTCATCTCCCTGGCAACAGGGGCAATACTTTCCTAAGCCAAGGCCATGCAGCAGTCACCAGCGGCATGGCAGCAATAGTAAGCGGAAGGAGTTGGCAGAGGAAGCTGGTTAGGCATTTTCCTTCCTCTGTATTTTCAAGGGCAGTCTAGATATAATGGGCTCAGACACGACCTGGATTCAAATCCCGGCTCTGTCACTAGGTGTATGACTTTGGTCAAGATCCTTTCCCTCTTTGTGCCCAATATAATATCTTTCCCTATAAAATGGGGATAATGATAATTCTTCATAGGGTTGTATAAGGATTAAATGATAATTAAATAAATATCTACAAAGTGCTTAGAAAGGTATCTGGCATATAATAAACATTATGCATAATGGTGGCTACTATTTTTCCAAGCCCATAAAAAGTCTGTTACATTCCCCAACTTATGGGAAATCTCTCTCTCAGGAAAAGCCAGAAGAGAAAAGGTGCTGGTCTTTCATGTGACTGGTTACCACATATTCTAGGATTTTAAGTTGTTTTCACCCTGGTAGAAAATCAAACTTAATATACCCTCACAATATCTATGAAATAAGTAATATTGATTTATCTTCAGAACTAAATATCCTAAATGTCCTTTTTATAGAAAAGAATAAACTAACTTGGTGGGGTTTTGTTGGGTTATTAAAATTTGTTTCCGGATTCACATGTCTTTTAGGGCAGACATCATTATCTTTAATCTCATCAAATTCAAAGTCGACCACAGCATAGGAGGGTTGAAGGCCCCATGAAATTTCCCTGTCTGTCCAGTCCTCTTCCTTACTGATGGGGAAATGACTTTTTTTTTTTTTTTTTTGAGACAGAGTCTCACTCTGTTGTCCGGGCTAGAGTGAGTGCCGTGGCACCAGCCTAGCTCACAGCAACCTTACACTCCCGGGCTCAAGCAATCCTCCTGCCTCAGCCTCCCGAGTAGCTGGGACTACAGACATGCGCCACCGTGCCTGGCTAACTTTTTCTATATAGTTTTAGTTGTCCAATTAATTTCCTTCTATTTTTAGTAGAGACGGGGTCTTGCTCTTGCTCAGGCTGGTCTCGAACTCCTGAGCTCAAACAATCCACCCGCCTCGGCCTCCCAGAGTGCTAGGATTACAGGCGTGAGCCACCGCGCCCGGCCAGGGAAATGACTTTTTTAAAGTCACTACTAATACATGGAGAAAGAGAGACCCAGAGTTACAAGGACACCCAGAGAAAAGAACAGGAAATCCCTGCAAACAGGAAGCGTATAAATTGAAGATGGTAACATTTATTTAAATATCCTCAGAAAAGGTTTTTTGAAAACCAAGAGCCACCCTGAACAGGGAATGAAGACAGAGAAAAGTACCAGTATGAGTGGGTTGGACTTTTTCCTGATGTCTACACCAGCCTCCGCGTTGTGGTAAATGTTGTTGCCCGCGATCAAGCCTCCGCCCTCCAAGCGAAGAAAGATGCCTGACGCTCGGCAGCGGTAAATGTCATTCCTGAGCATGACGATCTAAGCAGAAAACAGAAAGCCATTTATTTTTTAGGAAGCACTGGGACACCAAGTCCTTTCCTCCCTGTCTGGTCTATGCAGCTCACCTCCTAGGTGAGAGGAGCGCCACAACGCCAGCACCGCCGCCCTCCTGCTGCGTGCTTCCAAGGACACAGCAACCTCCCAGCCCTGCCTGGCTTTGTCCTGAAGGCTCTTTACCAACCTCACCTCGGTTCTTTACTAAAACTTGGACGGAAGCTTGGCCCTGTGCTGCATATTCAGAACTTGTAGGCAGCATAGATGGATGATGGGATGGAAAATGGATAATGGGATGGAAAGAATATTTAGAGAAGATGGGATTTAGCAGTCTTCAAA